GAGTAAGTTTAGGTGGGTCGTGTTTTTCTAGAAATGTATCCATCTCGTCCAAATTTTCAAATTTGTTGGAGTATAGCTCTTCGTAGTATTCTGTTATTATCTTTTTTATTTCGTTTGGTTCTGTTGTGACTTCCCCTGTGTGGTTTCTAATGCAATTTATTTGTGTCCTTTCCCTCTTTTCTTTAGTTAGTTTTGCCAGTGGTTTGTCAATTTTATTAATCTTTTCACAAAGAACCAGCTTCTTGTCTTGTTGATTATTTCTATAGTTTTTGGTTTTCCATCTCATTTATTTCTGCTCTTATCTTTATTATTTCCTTTCTTTTGGAGACTGTAGGTTCCCTCTGCTGGTCTGCTTCTAATTGTTGAAGATGCTGTGTTAGTGTGCTGATTTTGGCTCTTTCCTCTTTTTGGATGTGTGCATTTATCTCAATAAATTGTCCTCTCAGAACTGCTTTTGCCGTGTCCCAAAGATTTTGATATGTTGTGTTTTCATTCTCGTTTATTTCCAGACCCATCTAGACAAGATGAAAACTATTTAGTGGGGAATCTTTCTTCCCACACACTATTAAACTAAACTCCCTCTTGAAACCTTGTAAATCAGTCACTTCGTGGCTTTATCACTCCCTAATATTAGGTAGCCAATGTCTAAGTTGCCCATCCCTATCTACCCTGTGTACGGAGGGGATAGAATTGATACTTGATGTGGAAGGCACTCATGAATTGGAAAATTGGCAGCATCCCTGGGCTCAAGCATGGCAACAATTGTGAGGTTGGCCCAGGATCGGGCAATGTTTCATTTTGTTGTACATAGGGTCGCTATGAGTCAATACCGACTAAATGGGACCTAACCACAATCACAAAAGTCGAGTTCTGGTTATCAAGCCATCAAGGCTAGGTCAAATGAGTACTGTTTGCAACTTCGGGTGTTCCTGTGCGAGATTCCACTCACTTCACATCAGCTAGATGCTTCACTCTCAACTATAGCCCTCTGTGGCTATGTCCTTGTCCATAGGCTCAGGTGTCCTCAGATCTCACCACACTTTGGACTAACCAGCCCTTCCTCTTTTCTCTTTCATCTTCAGGTCAGTGGGAGTCTGTGGAACAGCCAGTTTCTTCATTGCTGCCTTTCCCTCTCTTCCACTCACCAGTAGACCAACATGGGCACCAGCAAGCTTACATGACTGCTCCTGTGTTCCCTTTGAGTTTCAGTCTTAGAGGGGGGGTGTGTCTAAACTGTTTTATCTTGAAATATACTTGACTTCATTGCCACCTGGAAGTTCTGTATTGACCCTATTCCCTCATTTGCTTTGTGGTGGTGGTGTTAAGTGCCTTAGAGTTGGATTCAACTCATAGCGACCCTGTATAGATAGGGTTTCCAAGGATTGACTGGTGAGTTTGAATTGCTGATACTGTGGTTGAAACTCACTTTGTGGTCCTGCACTTATTCCACAGTAGTTGACTTCATTATACATTGATGTCTCTGGTTCCCTATTTTCAGTCTTATAGGTTTGTTTTACTTTAAATGTTTCTCTATCTGAATTCTACTTTTTGGTGGTGTTGTTATGTATGGTAATTTCAGGTTGTTGTCTGCTTGTTGGTTCTTAGTCCAAAGAACACCCTTTAACATTTTTTGTTAAGTTGGTCTGGTCATTACAAATGCCTTTAATATCTGTTTATCAGGAATTGTCCTAATTTCAGCATATATTTGAGAAAAGGAATCCTGGTGTGGCGCTGTGGGCTCCTGTGTCATACTGCAAAGTTGTTTGAACTGCAAGGTCGGTGGTTCAAGCTCACCAGCTGCTCCTTGGAAACCCTATCCAGGGTCACCATAGGTCAGAATCGACTCGATGACACTGAACAACAACATTTGAGAGACAGCTTTGCTTAGTTGGCAGTCTTTTCCTTTCAGGACTTTGTTTGTGTCATCCCATTGCCATCTGCTGAGAAATCAGAGTTTAGTCTTTTGGGTTTTTTTTAAAAAACTTTTTATTGTGAATTGAGTGAAAGTTAACAGACAAGGTCATCAGCTTTACATTCAACAAATTATATACTTTATTTCATCTTAATGATTAAAGTCCCTTCCCTGAACAACCGTTATCCTACTTCCTCCCTGTGGCTTGCTTCCCTTTTCTATCTTACAGTTTACAAATGAACAAAGCAAAAATATTTTATGTACAGATACAAAATCTATATATAGTCATTTAAATGTTCTACTGGAGGAATGGCTAGTGAGCTTGAACCACCAACTTGCAGTTCAAACTGACATTATAGTCCAATGCATTAACCCACAGCACTACACCAGGACTCCATATATACATGTTGTTGTTGTTGTTGTTAAGTGCCGTCGAGTCGGTTCCGACCCATAGCGACCCTGTACAGGGTTTCCGAGGGTGTAAATCCTTATGGGAGTAGAAAGCCTCATCTTTCTCCCGCGATAGTGTAACGTATATACTCTCCTGGTGTGGCACTGTAGGATCAGCACTAGACTTCAAACCATTCAGTAATACAAACAGACCTTGTAGTCCAGTGCATTATCTTGCATATGTATGTACTCCACACTTCCTCCCTTACCCATTTGAGTCAGCCTTTGACACAGTGCATGTATCCACTCACAGACACAAGGTTGTATATATAACACTATTTACATCTATCCCCTTTAGCCCATGCATACGTCTCTGTGCCTTCACCTATTTTCAGTATTCTTTTGCCACCATCCCTCTTCTTAAATATTGCTTTCCCTCTTCTTGTATGGAAGGTAGTAATTTGATGTTACAGCATTTTAATGTATTTTGTCAATATTGATTCATCAGAAAACAGAGGAGTTTTGAAATAGTATATTTAATTTTTATTAAAAATTCATTAGCTACATCTTTTATTATGTGTTATGATTATCAGTTATGAAAAAATGCTATTGATTTGGGAAGTGGAAACATAGGGATTATAGTTTTTTCTTATCAAATTCACAAGTTTCTCTATCCAACATATCCTTACACCATTTAAACCTTGTGGTTGGTAGTATCTAAAGCATCACAAAACTGCAGTGACCTTTTTTATAGACTATAAAATAGCTGTTAAAAAAAAAAGTACATCTTAAAAAGTCTTTTTGATTTTCTCCTATACTACAGATCCAGAATCCTTGAATGTATATGTGATTGTATCTCTATAAATATAAGAAGAATGTCATATATTTATATAGACAACAATTACCCAGAAGATCACCTGCTCTAGTAAACTGGAAATAAGTACCTGGAAAACTATTAGATTATCATACCTGATGGGAACTTTGTTTAGCTAGAATATGAATAATCTGGTCATCAGAAACTGAAGTATTTTCTTCATTCTACAAAAGTACTCTGCAGAATTTTGTTAGGCTCTGTGGAAGGTACACGTAGAATATATTCCTACTTCTGAGTTTATATACTTCTGGAGAAAATGGAAAGTTAAGAGCAGTAGTTTAAGGACAAGCATAGCACTTTGAATACAGAGGGAGAAATGGGTTATTGGGGGTGGATGTCATGAAGAAGGTGGTGGTTGAGCTGATGCTTTAAAGAGAGGAACAAGAATTTTAAAGCCTAGGATTTAAGTGAAACTCTTGGGTCAGGGAAGGCATGAAAAAGTTTGAAATGTGAAAGCTTTTCCAGGGCTGGGGAACAGTAAAAAATATATAAAAGCCTGTGGACTTGCTACAAAATGGTCAAGTGTTATACTGGATTAACCAGAAGAATTATAAAAGGACAAAAGAGCTGATGTTAGTAAAGCTGAATGGGGCAGGTTTCAAAGATCTTGATTGTACATTATAGTTGGGACTTTACTCAGAAATGAAATGAGGGTATTTTATTATAGCTATGTGTACAATTCCATTAATTCGATGTTGTTGTCAGGTGTCAACAAGTCAATTCCAACTCATAACAATACTGTATAGTGCTTCTGAGAAGCAGCTTGTGGGTTTGTACTACCGACCTTGGGATTAGCAGTCCAATGCTTATCCCACAGTGCCCTCCTAGGTCTCCATAAGTGGCACTAGGTCTGTCCCATCTAATATGGTAGCCAATCAGCACATATAGCTATTTAAATTAATTAAATACAATTTATTTAGTTGCACTGGTCTCATTTTAAATGCTCACTATTGGACAGCTCAGAGGTATTTCTATCATTGCAGAAATTTCTATTAGGCAACATGGTGGTATGAGAAGCTATGGTAGGGATTAGGAGTTTAAGACTAAACACTTCTGTTTAAGTTATAGTTTTATGATATACATGTTATATAAAAGATACAAAAATATAAGTTAAAAAATAATTTATGGAATCTCTTTCTTGAAATAAATTCGAATAATAAGAATGTTTCTACGCTATTTGCTCCCTTTGGATTTTTATATGATATTCTTTAAGTGCAGGGCACTTTCAAATATAAATTTGGATGTTAGTTCATACAGGTACATGTTATATCTCGATTTCCTGATTAATGATTTCAGTTAAGTATACTTTAATTCCACTGTAATGTCTTGAAAACCAATAAAGCATTTAATTAATCGGAAATTAGAAGACTGTGTTACAGACTAATGTATTTTTTACACTGTTGATTATTGTATGATTCACTAACTTCACTTTTAAGTTAAATAAAACATCAGAATAAGGAAAACAAGGTTTCTTAAAGTTGGGCAATAAAGTATCACTAAAAGTGATAAAATGAATTATTTATTTATATGTGTTTCTTTTTCCAGAACTACAACTCCAGGAGAAACAAAACTGCTGGCTTCTGAAATCTATGACATTCTTCAGTCATCTAATATGGCAGATGGTGATAGTTTCAATGAAATGAATTCACGTCGAAGGAAAGCTCAGTTTTTTCTGGGAACTACAAATAAACGTGCCAAAACAGTGGTTTTGCACATAGACGGTCTTGATGATACGGTAAATATATGACTTATAAGATGGGAAAGAGAAATTGTATTAGCTAACTAGTTTCTTCAATGTCTTCAGCAAACTTCAGAATTAAGTCTCAACACCTGTACTTTGTATTGGTACAGAGTTGTTTGTATCAAAAACCAAACCTAACTCACTGTTATCAAGTCTATTACAACTCATAGCAACCCTGTATAAGATTTCTGAGGAGTGGCTGGCAAGACCAGGACTGCAGAAAGGGTTTAGAAGACTTATGCAGACAGACTTCTGGTGTGACACTGTGGATTAGCACTGGATTGCGAACCACAAGGTCAGCAGTTCAAACCCACCAACTGCTCCATGGAAACCCTATACAGTGTCACTATTAATTGGAACTGACGCAATGACGCTTAACAACAACAATTGACAATTATGGCACACCAACAGTAGAATAATATTTATGTTTTTAATATGCTCATGGAACATTTAGCACAGTAGAACAAATTCTAGGCATAGAAGAATTTAAATCATGCAGCGTGTTTTCTGTGGGCATAATATGATGGGACTTCAAAAAGTTTGTGGAAAAATGGATATAAAAGATAATGGAATTGTTTTACAAAATTTTGAAGCCTCCTTGTAAAAGCTAATTAGAAATCAATAGCAGGTGGTTATCAGGGGTGCCTGGGAAGGGAGAGTAATTCCCTGGTTAGAGTGTAGACACTAGCTTGGGTGATAGGGAGGGCAACATACAATAAAAGGGAGATGACAGGAATGATGAAGACAGGGAGGAATGCAAGGGTTAAAGGTAATAGAAGTAAATACTGTTATATACACAACCTGACAACAGCAGTAGTTTATTGGTATATAATAGACAGATACAGAGACTGAAAAGGTATGGAAGGGAAAGTGTGAATATACCCACAAATATGTAAAAGTTTGACAGGGTATTTGTACATGGGTACAAATATACTGCAAACACATCTATGAATGTGGTGGAACATACAGGAGGCAAAATGATGAAAACTTCTCAGACATTATCAAATACTTTGAGTCAGTAAGTTGCTGGGCCTGGAGGCTCAGGACCATAGTTTCAGGGGACACCATGGTCAATTGACATCGTCCCCAAGACAATTTCTACATCTTACTTTGGTGATTAATCACTGAGACTATGACTCTTGGCTATGCTTCAGGTCTTGGAAATGAACTCACCCTTGTGGTTCAACTTTCAGCTAAACTGTAGATAGATATTAGAGGAGACAACACAAGTATGGTATGCTCACAGTGGAGTGGTCAGCCATTGAAGGTCAAGAGGGCAACATTTCCCTAAGGACAAAGTTCATAAGAGATTTGAAGGAGAGAGAAATGGAAATAAGAAACACAGGGAAAAAATAAGGTAACTGTTGTTGCATGGAGGGGATTGTTGAGATGAAACTAAGTGTATGATTTGTTGAATGTAAAACTGAGGATTTGCTATGTAAATCTTCACCCAGATCACAGTAAAAAGTTTAAAAAACAAAACCAAATATATATGTATGTATATATAGCTGTAGGATAAGCATTTGACTGCTAACCACAAGGTCAGCAGTTCAAACCTACCAACTACTACGCGGAAACCGTACACAATGGCAGTTAGCAACAACAACAACATATAATTTTAAGAACCAAAAAAAAAAAAAATCAATAAAAATCAATAACAGAAAAATATCTGCAAAGTCCACCAAATATTTGGAAGCCATTTAACACACTTTTGGTGTGGCATTGTGGGATAAGCACTGGATTGTTTTTGTTGTTGTTAGATGCCATTCAGTTGGTACCGACCCATAGCGACCTTATGCACAGCAGAATGAAACATTGCCTGATCCTGGGCCAACCTCACTACTGTTTCCACGGTTGAGTCCATCAATGCTGCCACTTGGCCAATCCATTGGGGGTCTTCTTTTTCTCTGACCCACCTCCAAACATGATATCCTTCTCCAGTGACTGGTTCCTCCTGACAATATGTCCAAAGTATGAGAGATGAAGTTTGGCCATCTTGGCCTCTAAGAAGCACTCTGACTGAACTTCTTCCAAAATG